TTTTCTGTCGAGGCCGTATGCTGAATGTTGGGGAGGGGATGGAGTCCCCGACGGTGGACGGACCACTTCAACTCGGTCCTTAGAACCGCCACAATTTGGTGCTTACCTCAGAACTAAGCCTTAAAGAGAGGACGGGTCCGTCCTCCCAAGGCTTAGTCCTGGGGTGAGCAAACCAGCCCTTTTGGCGGAGCTGCTGGACCAGCTGCACCACTTCGTCATCACTCTCCTACCGTACCGACCGAGTTGAAGTAGTCCGTCGACCTCGGGGACCCCATCCCCTCCCCAACATTCAGCATACGGCCCCAGCAGAAACGCCAAAAGGGCTGGTTTGCTTACCTCGGGTATGAGCACAGGAAAAAAACCCTGCTAAGCCTGCTTGTGCTGTCCAATTTTACCGAATTTACATGCATCATCAGTCTGAAAGGAGGTAGAATGCGTGGCGCATCCATGCTGATACTGAATAACCATCGAACGCAAATCACGAGAACTTTGTGGAGAAGAAAATGAGGAGAAGAACAGGGCTGCATTCTAATTGACATAAATAGCTTCTTCTCCAAAGTCCTGCGTCCCAGTCGGAGCAACGAATTCAGCTGAGGTCCAATGGAACCTCGCTGAGGAGCTCCCCTGTAAAAACGATACGCGGCAGATGAAAGGGCGCTCAGAGAAGAAGATAAGAATCTGACGCGAAATCACATTACGGAATAATATTGCTTTTTCTCTGAGCACTTTTCAACGTGCGATTGTCCAGATCGCTTCCGCGAGACAAAGAGTAATTAGGTAGCAATAGGGTCTTCCGCCATTCTAAGTCTTACAGCAGCTGTATACTTTAACACGAGAAATTGTAACCATTACCATCCATGACACCATTCTAGTCTGGAATACACGGCAATTTACATCACTTTATATGAATTAACTAGTCTGCAGAGACCAATCGTTTTGAGGATGCGCCTTGCACTCCACACTCGCTCAGAATTGTTGTGGCATTTGGCAGATTCATCTAGATGACCCGATGCTAAAGGTTTCTAAATTTGAAATCGGTATCAGATGATCCACTTCAGAGGGATGGAGTCCTTGTTTGCCTGACCGAGATCCGAACTCAAAGTTGACTTTCGGGTAGTGGGCGAACTTTGCGGCGCCATGGCCGTCAACCCAGTCGAGCTGCTTTGCGATGTGGATCTTCTTCATCCCGTTCTCGAACAATTGCACGATCTTTTGTCGATCGCACGTCAACAACGGTCTCCCCGATATGTACGGACGACCATAGCGATTGCGCGATGGATACGGTACTGCAAAATAGTTACTGTAGTTCTGAATTTTTGAAACTTTGCGAGTTGCTTGAAAGAAGAAAACTAATAACACAGCACAAAAGCACAGCTGATAGATAGCCACATTTGTATAGCACGAAGAAAGAGGATCAGGGTTTTCGAACTCTTTGCTAGGAGAAGTTGCCCAGAGCTCAGCATTCTTGTGAAAGTCCGAATGCCCAGTCAAAGAAAGATAAGTCATAGTTGCACACATCTGCACTAATCAATTGAAGAATGACGCTCTAATTCCTCCCATTGATTATTTACAGGAATGATAATCAAATTTCCAAAAAAAAAAATCGAAAATGAATTTTTTTTCAATCAACCGAGAATATATCTAGGGAACTTCCTGGATCATGCTGCCACTGAAGTTTCAGCATCAAACAACTAAAAAAGGAATGAAAAAGAGAAGAGAGAAAGAAAACTTTTAAAAATTTCACCATTCATAATTGGTTGTGATTGAGCACTTGACTCTCCCGGGACTGGGTTTCTTGGGCTGATCGTTCGAGCGAAGGACTCCAACATCAGAATGTTTCCAAATGAGCTGGCCTGGAACATAGCGCTTCTATCTCTTGGCCTTCACAAACTTTGTCAGTTTTCTCCCATGGCGTCATTAGGTTTCAGAGGGTGAGAAAAACATCAAAAAGACCCATTTGAAGAAGCCTGACCGTTCTTTTTTGCACTCGGAGATACGGAGATTAGACATGGTTTGCACTTAGAGATTTTCCATTTTGACATAGTCAACAATAGTTCCATTTGTACAGTAGCCATCAAACTAGCCCCTAAGGGCTGCAAAAACCTTGACCACTGGTGCCTTATGCAGACGTAATAAACTTAAACTTAAATTATCATTTACTACATTATAAGTGATTGTATATTTATTTACTTGTGTATATCATTTACGTGTTTCCTCTGCCGTGAGCCGGCTCTGTGCGGGAGTGGGAGCCCTTGGTGGGGGGATCACTATGTAGGTGGTCAAAGCGGTTTTCCTATGGCGAAGAGTGATGCGAGATGAAACAGAATCTCTCAGAGCACATCCAAATTTGTACGTAATAATCATTATTTATTTTTATTCTTTATTTATTAACTGAATGCACTCAAAAAAGTCGGCTGAAGGATTAGACATAATTTAAATACGCTTAGAATTGTTGAGAAGGACAGTTTGAATCAGGGGTAACTGATCTGTGGTTGACATATCCACATTGGAGTAGGTTTGAAAAGTCTGAAGCCCGAGCAGTATAGGTGCCGCAAAAATTTCGCGGCCCCTCAGAGGTGTGCGCCTTTCTTCGACCTTGTTTCATTCTTTAAATAGAAACGACCTATTTTCAGTTCGGATCGTGAGGTGCAATGAAGAATGAATTCTTAGCATCAACCTGTGAACTTCAACAGAGTGAATTCGAAGGGACTTTAGAGTCAACGATTCGTATAAGGCTGGTCTGTGAAACTGCTGCCATCAAGAAGTTGGCTGCTGCCTTAAAGCAACAGTCCAGGCAGGGTTTCAACTACTTGGTCATTAGGCGGTCAAAACATGCCCCAGCCCAACTAAAGTTTATAGGAAATGTCTTTAATTTCAAAACCTACCTCTAAAATGCGCTGGAAGGGGTCGAAGTCCTCTTGGAGGGGGCGGATCACCCATAAAGAGGCGGATCGCCCAACATACGCTGTGCAGAGTCCGCGCTTGACTAGCGGTCGTTGCGGGACCGCCGCGCTGTATGAGGTCGATTCCATAAGAACGCAATTGAAGCGCTTCAATTTCGATTGCTGGCAAATAGTTATGTATTTGCAAGCATGCATGGCTATTTGCCAGCAGTCAATTGGAGCGCATGTACTACGGGCAGGTTCGGACAACTCGTCCAACACACGTCTCCCTAAACGGCAGGGGGAGTCCCTGTCTAAGCCCCTGCCCGACGTTTTTTTCTACTTTTCTTTCTCCATTGACCAACTTCTCACCTGCAACGTCATTATAGGTGGTCCTTACCCGCGAATTCGTTCCTGGATTGTTGCTTTAAGTCCAGGGAACTCTCCCAAGCTGACAGGAACTAATATAGTGGGTTGGTATTCTGTACAGT